CGCCCAGGCTCGGGCCGTCCTACGCGAAGAGAAGACCGAGGCGCGGTGGTCGTTGATTATGAAGAACAACGCCATCAAGCTCGACCTGCTCCGGACGAACGTCGCCGCGAAGAAGAGGAACACCGACATGGCTTTTCTTATGAGCGGGGCGGACATTCTCCAGAGCAACGACGAGAAGCTCAAGGCGTGGTACCTGGTGCAGCGCGGCCTCATCCTGAACGAGCTGCCGACGGCAACGCCGACGACGCCGATGACGCCCACGACCACACGGACGCCAAGCCCGGACGACGCCTCTACATCGCCGCCCAGCAGTACCGAAGTCGCGCCGACACAGCCCTGCGACGAAGCAGGTCCGACACCGACGAGCCCGCGCACGCCGACTCCGCCAACGCCTGGAGCCGACCAAGACGAGTGATTCGTTGCGTACGGCGCCCCTCTGTTTTTTGTAACGTCAGACTACGTCCGATCGCCGGATTTGCGGCGTCTTTTGAGAGCGGGAACAACCAAATTTGAATTTCCCGCATCCTGGGGCCGGCGCGTGGGGGCGTGACTGGGAGCTAGGTCGCCCCCAGGGGCCGAACTAGCGCCGGCACGCCCCCAGGCCGCTCTATTTAGGCGCCCTGGGGGGCCGAACGGCTGGAGATGCCCTTACTGGTCTGGTTTTGGTGAGAAAAAAAAAGAAGTAGGAGAGGAACAGAGAGATCGAGAGAGCTACACATCACTGAACCCTTTGGATTCTAATGCAAGGTTGAATAATTTTGTGTGTTCTTACTGTCTGGGATAATATGAAGTTTTTTGGCTTATCGTTGTGCCTTCAGTTTCCGACATCGCTTGGCTGTACACCGACGACTTTCACCGATAATCCGTCCACTCATACTCGACTGTTAGCCGAACTTGGTCTGACCTGCTACAGTGTCATCAATTTGCATCTGACATCGAAGACTAATTAATTTCATATGTTCTTTAGTATATGCTCTTTAAGCTCTGAACAAGTCAGTGCCTGAAATACCACATGTACTCATTACAAGATGATCTTCAGGAAAGACAATAATGGCAAGTAGCGATCAAATGAGATAAAGCTAGCTCAATTTTTATCTAGGAAGAACAGCTGCTGTCTGACAGAAAAATATGACAAAAGATAAACTAATATCATGGTGATGACATTAATTGACTATTTTGTAAGTAGCAATAGAAGGTGATAAAGGTAGCTAAATTTGTGTCCAGAAAGAACAGCTGTTGTGACAGAGAAACGAAAGCTAAATATACCACTATATACCTGTTCGGGTCTATCAATTTAATTGTCACGAGTATTTCTAATTCATTCATCTTACTTCTTCATAATACGCATATACTACTTTTGTTCAGGTATATACTACTCCCTCCGTCAACTAATATAAGAGCGTTTAGATCACTAAAGTAGTAATCTAAACACTCTTATATTAATTTACAGAGGGAGTACTTTTTATCACTTTTACTTCTTCTCACTGGATGCATGCATGCTTCTCCGCACAGGTTTCCCTAAATTCAGTTTTTTGGTGTATACTTTCTCCTCATCAGCTAAGTATACGTACGACAAGACAGAAAGAAACATATACTGTTGATCGATACTGAAATATCATATGGAAGATAGCCCTCTCTTCTATACCCCTTGTGAAAAGTAGTATACTATCATTTCAAAAGAAAACACATCATATACTCATTTCTGATAATGAGTACACACTGATCGTGCCCCCGACCTAGGGTTCCTCCCTCCCTCCCCCCGCCGTCGCCGGCCGTCCTAGCCCCCGCCGCTGCCGCCGGTCGCCGGCCGCCCCCGCCCCCTTCCCTCCCCCCTCCCCCCGTTCCCCAGGATCCGCTCCGCGCCGCCTCCCCGGGAGGTGGCCGGGGCGGTGCGAGCCCTCCT